CTATGCCTTCTGTTGTTAAGAGCTTTGGCTCTCCGATCCTCTTCCATTTTGTTGTCCTCGGTCAACTTGGATTCCCTCTTGATATTTTCAAAATATCTGTTGCAGGCTCCTATGAACACAAAAAGTGACATATGTCATTTGTCTGCACTTAGTGTTAGTGTTTTTGTAGAATTACACAGAAGACTGAGATTGTGTTTTTTGTTTCACAGTGGTAAACTATACTTAAATGAACCTTGTGTCTCTGGTAAAACCAATTTTAAAATCAGAACTTACTTCTTATCAAAGATGAATCATATTCCTCCTCATCCATGACTGTCCGTGACACGGAGCTTGTGACTGCGCTGTTGTGCTCAGACGTGAACCTACAGATTACATTTCAGAAATCAGAAATGAATCACGCAACATAAGCTATGATATATCAAACAGCTGCAGTGAAAATGTGTTTTGGAGTTCTTTAAAGTGATATTATTTTTAAACTAAAGCAGTGGTTCCTACAGTGGGGAGAGGGGTGGGGCACTTAATAGAAAAATGAATGCTTGGACACTGCTATCATAAAAGGACAGGTTTTTGTCAGGTCATAAATACAAAAAGACTGAAGGTGTCATTTCAGCCTAACAAATTTTGTTCAACTGATAAAAATAAGTGGAGGTGTGAAATAAACTTCAATGGAGTTTGAAAATGGATTATTTACATATCTGGTTGGAGGGGCTCAAAATATTTCTTATAATTGAAAAGGGGGTGCTGCAGAAAAAGTTTGGGAACCACTTTACTAAAGCATCAGTAAATGGTCTTGGATCCAAGAAATAAATAACTGCTAAGTGATGCTGCTGTACCCTCTGAAGGAAAAAATATTTATCAGCGACCTTGTAATCAGAGGACAGACTAACACATGGTTAGTAATATCTTACCTCTCATTTCCCCTGTATTTATGTTCGTCCTCCAGACTCCTGTGGATCCTTTTTACCTCCCGCTATAAAAACAGAAAAGCAAAACAAAACAAAACAATATCACAGAGAACAGTTAGCTCATGAGAGAGGAAATGTGTGTCACAGTGTCTCAAACAAAATACTTAACCTTGATAACCACTTAAGCTATTCTTTAAAGTGCAGATGCAGTTCAATCATTCTCCATCACTTAAAGAGGAGGTTGTGGGTGAAGTTTTTGTTTTGCCTTGATGTAATTAATTCATTAATTGTTTAATTGACATTTGTATGTGGTACTATGATCAGATCATAGATCTGTTTCGACCTACAGAATAAATCTGAGTACAACAAAACACAGCTTAGTGTATAACTTACAGACAGGGCCTTGGGGATGAGTTGTGATGAAGTGGGTGTGTGTCGAGTTGAGGCTTCCGCCACCAATTGGCCTTTTATTTCTGCGACCGCCTCAGTCAGCCCGTCCAGTTTTGCAGCCATCATCTCCTCCATCTTGTCCATCCTTTGGTGTACATTGGACAGAGCCCTGAAACATTTTCAGTTGTTTTGCAACATTTCAGTTAATGGCTGAGCAAATTGGAACAAACATTACAGAAAACGAAGCTAGCGATGGGGCAAATGCGATGCGAGGAGCTGTGTGTGTGAGGAAGACGATCCAGGATGTTTATCCCAACGCAATTTGTGAAATTCATAACGTTTAAAACAGTAAAAGATAAATGCCTAAAGCAACAGAATATAATTAATAGGTCCTAAAGTGATGAATATGTGTTTTTCTGTGTGCCGATCAGTCGGAGAAATGATGTGCGTTTGCGGCAGTGAATTCATCTCCGCGCGCAGAGCGGTCCATCTTTTTTCAAACTGTTAAAATTAGTAGCCTAAATCTCACCGTGTCCTGGTTCATAAGGGAAAAAGCTTTTACCTCTATGTGCATTACTTAGAGAGTGTTTTGCGTGGTGTGCGGGACACAACCTCGAACCCGCAGCAGCGCAGATGGAGAAAAAAAGCGGCGCGCAAAAATAAAAGGTAAATAGCAACGTACTCTATAGCTTATGTTTATATAAATTTGCATTTAACCTGCATAATATATTGTTACTGATTACATTAGGCTACATAAGAAAAATATTATATAAAATATAATAATTCCAGGATCTGTGTCAATGTCCACCCCACCAATTAATCAAGAGCCGCTACTGATCAGTTTCTCTGCGAAGCTAAACACAAATAACTCCTCATATTCAACAAATGAAACAAATTGATGGCGTAAAAAAACAATGTCAACTTACTTCCACACTTGATGTAATGTGACATCAGTCGCCGGACTGTGAGATCTCCCTCTGGATCCAACGAGGCGCCGTTTTGCTTGGCCTCGTTGTGAAGTCCCACATACGGGAGTTTCATGGCTTCTTTGGCGTGAGCTGACATTACGCCTAACATTCGTCTCATTGGTGTCCTCTGAGTCTGAAGACTCAGCGCGTTGTCGTTTTCTCCCAGACATTACGTGCTACTTGGCGTGAACTCAATTACAAAGTGAAAAAAACTATCACAGGCATCTCCTGTGATGATGTGACCAGCTCATGATCTGTCCATCCCATCTCAGTGCGTGGCTGTGTTTGACCACTTTGAGCCCATCTCTCTGTCCTCTCTGGAGCAGGTAATGTGCAGCATGAAGCCATCTGGTTCCCCCTTTGATGTGGTCGCCCCTCGACTGCTAAAGGAAGTTTTTCCTACCCTGGGTCCTTTTATCCTCACTATTCTGAATAGCAGTTTATCCTCAGGTGTGGTGCCAAAGACTTTTAAACATGCTGCTGTCCAGCCCCTCCTGAAAAAACCTAACCTTGACCCCTCAGTCATGTCCAACTTCCGGCCTGTCTCCAGACTCCCATTCACCTCTAAACTACTGGAAAAAATTGTGGAGTCTCAGTTGAAACAGTTTTTGGGGGATCACGCTATCCTTGAGTTATTCCAATCTGGCTTCAAATCTCTCCATAGCACTGAAACTGCTCTACTGAAGGTTTTTAATGACATTTTCATATCCACAGACGCAGGTGATTCTGTGCTGCTTGTCCTATTGGACCTTACATCTGCTTTTGACACCATCGACCACAATATCCTCATTTCTAGACTGGAGCAGTGGGTGGGCATCACAGGGTCAGCCCTTAAATGGTTTGGGTCCTACCTCTCTGACAGAACCTTCTGTGTCAATATCAAAGATTTCAGTTCGGCATCGACCGCACTCCAGTGGGGGGTACCGCAGGGGTCCATCCTCGGTCCCCTTCTCTTTTCTTTATACCTGCTGCCACTAGGTGCTATCTTCCGCAAACACGACATACCCTTTCATTTCTATGCCGATGATTGCCAAATTTACTTCCCCCTGAGGCACAGAGGCACACGCTCTATTCAGCCTCTTCTTGACTGCCTGGCTGACATCCGGGACTGGATGGCTTTAAACTTCTTAAGCTTCAATGAGAAGAAGTCTGAAGTCATGCTGTTCCATCCCAGTGGCTCACTCATGAACCATGACATTGACCTTTTCTCTCTAGCCCCGCTAGAGAAACAAAAGGTGACTAATCTGGGGGTGATAATGGACCCGTCCTTAAAACTCAACAGTCACGTAAACATGATGGTCAAATCCTGTTTTTTTCAGCTGAGACGGCTGTCTAAGCTGAAGCCTATACTCAACAAAAAGAACCTTGAGACAGTGATCCACGCCTTCATAACATCTAGGCTTGATTACTGCAATTCACTTCTGTTTGGAATCAGCCAGTCCTCCATTGCTCGTCTACAACTGGTCCAAAATGCTGCAGCCCGATTTTTAACTGGTACAGGCTATAGAGAGCACATCACGCCAGTTTTGGCCTCCCTGCACTGGCTACCCATTCACCTTCGGATCCATTTCAAAATTCTCATGTATGTTTTTAAATCACTGAACAGTTCCGCCCCATCCTATCTCACTGATCTTCTGCAGCCATATGTCCCACCGCGCTCTCTGAGGTCAGCAGACCAGATGCTTCTCTCAGTCCCAGAAACCCGTCGTAAGCTCAGAGGTGACAAGGCTTTCTCTGTTGCAGGTCCACGACTGCGGAATGAGTTGCCACTGAGTGTCCGGCAGGCTCCCACACTCTCAGTCTTTAAGTCTCGCTTGAAGACCCACTTCTATTCGCTTGCCTTTAACACGGTGTGATTTGTTTTGGTCCGGTCTGTTCTCTACTCTGTTGGCCATTTTAGTTAGCTCCTGCTGCTATTTGTATCTGTATTTCTATTTTATGTTTTCCTGTCTGCTGTGCATGTTTGTGTTCTTTTGTACAGCACTTTGGTTGGCCTTGTTGCTGTTTTAAGTGCTATATAAATAAATTGGTATGGTATGGTATGGTATCTCCTCGGACCGTAATTTAATCTGCGTGGCTACCTGTAGGTTTGATATGATTGGCTAGAGTACAGGAAGCAGCCAATGAAATCGAACGCTACCGCTGCGCAGCGGGTGAACAACCAATCAAATGAATCATAAAACAGTGATAAGAATACAGTATATAAAACAGTATATGAGTTATATTCATGCAGGACATCATGACTACGCCAGCAAAATAAATGAAAACAAACCCGAGGTACATCTACTGTGACCACTGTAGAGAAATTGTGTGTAAAACTACATACTATGAACATTTACGTAAATATGGACAGAAAGAAACCTACGGACAGGTGGATACCAAAAAGGTATGTATGACTTTTGCATATATGTGACCCAGAATATCTAAATGAGGATGAAGTCTAAAGGTGGGATGTGGAGAAATAAGCAAATATATTTTGATTAAAATGTTTGCGAAAATCGAATTCTGTCAAAATATTATGAATACATGTTTTATTAATGATCAATTGATTAAATTGTCTGAAAAACAATCTTAAATTTTTTTGAGTAATTTTTTGGATCTGTACCTACAAACAACTTGATTTTGAGGAAAAATGCCGTAACATTTTGAGTTTTTCCATGTGAGGCAGAAAAACATTTTTTGTCTTTCCAGCTGGAAATCCCAGTTTTAAAATATTATTACGTCATATCTCTGGATCCACTTAAGTTATGACGTGGCTTATGAGAACCACATTTGGTGTTCAATACAGCTGAAGCAGTCCCTTAGTTCAAAGAGATTTATTTGACAGATTTACAAGTACTCAGAATTCAAGATACAATTACAATTGTATGCATACAATGGGCATTCCAAGAACAGACCTGTCTGATGGCAGTCCTCCAGCAAAATGCAATGACCTCGGTTCTGACTCTTTCCCTTATTTTACCAAGACTGCTCCTGATTGGTTTAAACACTCCGTTGTCATGGTTACGGGGCTCTTCAGCCTTGGAGGTCACATACCAAAAGATAAGGTTTTATGGTTTTATGGCTCTTTGTTAACTTTCTCTTGAGCTGAGTATACTTGTTAAACGATTAAATGCTTGTTAAACTATTCAATGCTACTTTCTACTGTCCTTACTAATTAAGTTTAATCAGCTATTAAGTTCTATCATCTTTACTAAGTTTAGTCAACTCTATTAAGTTCTATCACCTTTACTAGTTATGTTTAAGCAAACTACATTCTCATCTGTTCTGTGTGTGTGTGTGCGTGTCAGTCCCTGCACGTGTGATTCTGTGTGTGTGTGAGTAAAGGAGAACTTCTACTAGATGATTTTAGAACTAGTTATGTTCAATATTCCATTTAACTAAGTAATTCAAATCAAAGTAACTGATTAATATTTAAATGATTGTAAGTTAATTAAAGAAATTTCAAGCTTGATTAAAATAATGATAAAAGATAAAACATGAAATCCAACAGTTATCAACATGATCCAGGTATCAAAATGTAGCTTTTAAAGCCAGAAATCTGAAAATGTAATTGTCAGTGTCAATGTCAAATTTATTTCTATAGCACATTAAAACAACAAAAGCTGACCAAAGTGCTTTACAGTTTAAGACTGTCGAACAAATACAAATAAAACAGAGAAACACACTGAAGAAAAAAAAAAACTTCAGCTCTAATAAACCTCCAACTCCATCTAGTCTAAAGTCAAAGGTCATTTTGACCAAAATTGACTTAATCCTCATTTCAATGTGATTGGTCACATTTCTTATCTGCTTTCTAAATTCACACAGCTTTACATTCATCATGACTTTTGGCTAGGGGATGTTTTTAATGTACATAAGCATAATGCACATGCACTATGTTCTGTAAAGTACTAGTACTATACAGAGAGTACCCTAAAATAGTCTCAAATATTAGTAGAAAATGTAGGAAGCATACGTCTTTGATGGATACATACATTCAAGAAAATATACTCTAGTAAGTGTAAAAAAACGGTTTGTAAAAAGACTGCTAAACTACTGTATGCTTGATCAAAACATCTGCTTTAATATTTTAAATGATGCCATCAGACATGCAAAATGTTGTGTGCAAAGTCTTTTATTTTAAAGATTAAGCTAATTAAACTTGCAATTATCTGTACTAAAAAAACAAGTTGTGTTTTTTCATTTTTCATCTCAGGGGGCCCCTAGAGAAAACTATGAAATGAGACAAGTAAATGGAAGAGAAAACAAAGAAATCACAGCTGTTCTTGACAGTAATGAAAAACAGGTAAGCAACAAGGTGTGCAACTTTTGTTCTGAGTGCTTGATTGTTTCAGTTCACATTCATGTTACACACAGACAACCAACAGCATGGAAGTTGTGAAAGATTAAAACAGCTCCTTAGATTTAGCCTTAGTAGATTTAGCAATTAAATAGATAATTCAGAGGAAAACTGAAAATGTATTCTAAAAACAATTAGTGAATTGCCTTCTATTGAAGCACATAAAGATTGTTGGTTTTCTATCTCTGGAAAATCTCCTCTAGATTATAGTTACAGCTTGGGTGACCAAAGGTGGGGGCAGGAGTGCAGTCAAAGGCATGATGGAAGATGATGTTGAGTTTGAATAGTTAGGAGGTGTGAATGTGTCCCCATCAAACCTACAAAAAAAAGTCACTCAGGTATTCAGCCAGGCCTTTGTTTACTACACTGAATAGGATGAGTTCCTGATGAAACGTTTCATTAAAAAAGAACTTGTCCAGAAGACTTAAATATTTTTTCTTGCTGAATGAGAGCACTTCTTAGGAAAATTATTTGTTAAAAATTGGAATTTATGAGATGTATGCTTTGGAGTGTTGTTTGAAAGTGACACCACTCATTTGCGTCTCTTGGCATTCTCCACAGAAAAGCTGCACCTCTGATATGGACCTTCTGTAAAATTCCTAGATTTGTTAAAATATATTTGGTGCCACATGTGAAACAAATTACACCTAAGTTGTTTGCAAAATATATTACAATCAGTTATAAATAAGATCAGATTAAATGTGATTCCACTTGAATATTTAATGCTTGATTTCAATTTTGCATCCAAACATTATATTTGTGGATTTAAAATCTTTTAAAACCTGCATGGATCAATGTTTAAGTGACGCTGATCTTTTCCAGTGAGGGAAACTGGAATAATATTTGTCCTATATTTGTGTTACAGGATAGTGACGAGTCATTCTACGGGGCTGATGGAGAAGAGAAACAACCATATGCAAGTACATATATGTCAGCAATTCTTTTCTGTTTTGTGATCTGTGCTGTAGAATAATGAGGTTCTGTGAAGACAAGAGTGGAGCCGGGGGGAGGGGGGTGTCTGTTGTAGTCTTCTAAAGTGCGGAATGTTAATAATGTGTGAAATAGTAATGAGGGCATTGCAAGTGGGGAGACTGAATCGGGGGAGGTCGCTTCAGATCATTCTCCCACCTTGGCCTCAGTGCTGCTTGCAGCTTTAATACTGATCTTATTCCTCAATTCCTTCTGCCCAACTGTCAACAATACAGTGATACTATTGTCCCATACTCTCCAGTCATGATTGGGTCTAAATCAAGAAACACAGAACTAACAACTAAAAGTAGTTTTCATTTTCATTGACCCTTTATTTATACAGGTAGTCTCATTGAGCCACGAGAACTCATTTTCAAGAGAGACCTGTTTAGGGAGCAGATGGTGGGGGTTAAGGGCCTTGCTCATGGGCCCAGAGTGGGGCGAATGAGGGTGGAGGCAGGTGTGGGTGTTTCACCTTTTTCCACCCACATTTTTTGATGTTGTTGGTAGCGGGGCTTGAACTAGCGATCTTCCAATCACAGGCCCACCGTCTCTAACCACTGTGCCACCACTCCCCCAAGTTTAATTTAGAATAAAATTTGTATGAGTAGGAGCTGCTGCTAATATGGCTGCCTGCTTCCACATCACCTGAGAAAATTGTTGGATCTAAGTTCTGTATTAGATTAATGTCATTGTTGGGTTATTTTGACAGATGATTGCACTGAATGGTTAACTGTGGTTCCAGGTGCAAGCAACAGTGAATGCAGCACGAGGAACACCAGATGCCGTGAAGAGGAAAGTGACCGCAGTGATGAAGAATCTGTTGGAGGTGAAGAAGACACTGAAGGCAGCAATGAAGATGAGGAAATGGAATGGAGTGAAGAAGACATTCAAGTGGCAGAGGCATGGGAAGAGATAGCAGATGAAGAGAGGAATGAGAACAGCAAAGTTGATGATGTTCAGTACTCATGGTTTACGTATTTAATCCTTCAACTCACAATGTGGAAATCACATTTTACAATTTCAGATAATGCTTACATCGCATTGTTAGACCTGATAAAGTCATTTCTTTTTGTGGTTGGCAGCATTTTAAAGATTGCTACATTGAAACATTTGGCTGAAAAAATTCCCTCAACCATGTATATGATCAGGAAAATACTTTCACTCAAAAAAGATGACTTCATTCACTATGTGGCATGCCCAGTTTGTGACAAAATATATACACTTGAGGAGGCAACCATAATTGTAAAGGATGGACGCGGCATAAGAAATAAATCAGCAAGATGTAGTCATGTTAGTTTCCGAAAACATGCACAAAAGCGGCATCGTAAGGAATGTGGGACTTTGCTTTTGAAAACAGCCATTGGAAAAAAAGGATTAACCTATTTATATCCCAAACGTAGCTTTTGCTATAGAAACATTACAAAGAGCTTGCAGGATTTAGCACAGAGACCAGGTTTTAATGAAGCCTTTGAAAAGTGGAGAGAACGAGAAGTGTGTGACAATGTATATGCTGATGTGTTTGATGGACAGATTTGGAAAGATTTTCAAGCTTATGATGGCAAGCCATTCCTTTCTGAAGCATGTAATCTGGGTCTCATGCTTAATGTTGACTGGTTTCAGCCCTATGACAAAGTTAAAGATTCTGTAGGTGTGATGTACCTAGTTGTAATGAATCTTCCTCGTGAGGAGAGATTTAAGCAGGAGAATATTATAATCGCAGGAATCATTCCTGGACCACATGAACCTAAAGGGCATATTAATTCCTACTTGAAACCACTTGTTGATGACCTTCATGACCTGTGGAAGGGGGTGTACTTGTTAGACTCTTCGGCTTTAGGAAAGCAACAATACAGAGCTGCTCTACTGTGTCTGTCAAGTGATATCCCAGCATCTCGCAAGACTGGTGGGTTTCTAGGGCACATGGCAAAAATGGGATGTTCTAAATGTTTAAAAGAGTTTCCAAGAACCATTGATAACAAGGTCGACTACTCGGGTTTCCAGTGTGATCAGTGGCTCCCTAGGTCAAAAGTAAATCACATTTTGTATGCCAGGAAAGCAAAAATAGCCAAATCAAAGGCAGATCAAGCAAGGTTAGAAGGAATTTATGGTGCCAGGTATAGTATTCTTCATGACTTGCCTTATTTTGACCCTGTTAGAATGCATGTTATTGATCCCATGCATAATATCTTGGAGGGCACTGCCAAAAGAGTAATGCAAGTGTGGAAAGAAAAAGGTATACTGAATAGGCAGTCCTTCATAAGTTTACAGTCAAGAGTAGATTCCCTAAAAGTCCCAAATGACCTTGATCCTGGAATTCCTGGAAAGATTGAGTCAGCGTTTGAAGGTTTTACAGCAGCCCAGTGGAAGATTTGGGTATGCACTTATTCTTTGTATGCCCTGAAAGGTCTTTTGCATGAAGCAGATTATAATATCTGGAAGTCTTTTGTCTCTGCTGCAAGGATACTTTGTTCTCGGATTGTGACAACAAGTCAGCTGGATGATGCACACAGGTGTCTCAAAATTTTCTGCAATTTATTTGAGAACAAATATGGAAAAGAGTGGTGTACCATGAACTTACACCTTCATTTACACCTACAATCGTGCTGCATAGACTATGGCCCCGTACATTCATTTTGGTGTTTTTCTTTTGAAAGGGCTAATGGGATTTTAGGTGACTACCATACAAATAACCGACATGCAGAACTCATTATGATGCGTAAATGGTTGCTAGATTGGCAGGTATTTCAGAAAGATAAATGTGTACCAAAACAGGTTGAACAACATTTTCAATTTTCTAAAAAAAATAGCATCAAAATGCAGCTACATACTAAATATGGACCAGATAAATAGGCTTAAAATTATGTCAGACAGTGATGTTCCACATGACTTCAGATTTGATGATACGTTGGAGACTCTGCTTCCACCTTTACACCGAAGGCATATTTCGTACGAAGAAAGTGATGCTCTCCTTCTAATGCTTAAGACTTTGTACAAGAATGACTGTGTACATAGAGTGTCTTTCAATGCCATTAGGTTTGACAGATGCACACTAGGAGGGGAATTACTATCAACTGGAGACTACAGAGCTGATGCAAAGTCATGTGTTTTTGCAAGGTGGCTTAGAAATGACGAGAAAACTGGAGAACCTGTTATTGATCTGAAAGCTGCAGCTCGACCAGCGTTGATTTCCAGAATGCTTAAGGTCATAGTCTTTTTGAAAAAAGATAAGGAAAGACAGTTAAAGCTGAGCATACTGTTGCGGAGGTTAAATGGTTTAAACAACATGGTGATAGATATTATTACAGTCATAGTGATTCATGTTCTGTTTGGGAATTGGGTTTTGAGCCTTTTTCTTATGCAACATACCTCCCACTGAAAAGAATCATTGGTCGTTGTGCCTATGCAAAGTGTAAGGTTAGGTTTTCAAGAACTAGGGAGGAAACTGTACGGGTTGTGGTTCCAGTCTCATCACTGCGATGTAGTTAGGGAAAAGGATAATGAAACATTACTGAATTACCTTGTTTCTTTTTATTTATTTATTTTTAAATGCTTATGGAAGAAAAATTGTTGTTTCTCTGAAAAAATATGTAACGAGCCTTATTTCAATATTCGAATAAGCGTTGACTTGGAAGTTTAATGGCTACTTCAAGTTATTGTCATCTGTAACAAATAAAAAAATTCAGAATCACAGTGGGTCTTTATTGCTTCACCATGAAATTGTCTTGAAGTGAGCAAAAACAATGAAAATAAAAAATTAACAACAAAAAACAGACAGAACATAAACAGTATAAACGGGGCAAAATCTACAATTCACTTCCTCTGCTGCCATTGCAGGTGGACAACAGCCCAGACAAAGAACATTTCTCATCCTTTTGTTCACTGAATTGTGCAGTGAGCCCTTTATTTTTAATTTGGTGCAGGCAACATGTATCAAAGGAGATTAATTTAAGCTGAACAACAAAGCAGGTGAGATGGGCTCAAAGTAATCAAACACAGGAGTCTCTGTATATTAAGAGAGAAAGACCTTCTCAACAGAGGAGGACGCATCAGATTCTAACTTTCAAAAATGTATAATGCAGCTTTAGGACTGATTCCCAGACGATTTTCACACCTGATGGGAACAGAGGAGCCTCATCTGTGAATTAGACTAACAAAGACCTTAAGAAACATCTACTGTTAAGGTGTGAGGTGTGATTTGTCAATTTACATAGGTATGTGTGTATCTTATCTCAGCCTTTAAAACCTGATCCCCACACTGCTCCTTGAATTGAGAAAGGGTCAGAGTCAGTGAATCTTTATTGTCATTCGCACCACATGTGGTACATGTGATGAAACGAGATTATGTACACAGGGTCCCAGTTACATCCAACAATAAAATGTAAAAGAAAAACAGTAATAACAACATAACAAAGGTGGCCTTTTGTTATGTACATGCACCCACTGCCAGGTAAGGCTAAACAGGGGTGATGGGTGATGGGTTAGTACAAAGGAGGCATACTTGAATCTAAATTTCTGGTAATGTTGACATTTTTTGGGGGGTGGGGTGGGGTAATCAAACCATAATAACCGGAGTTTCATTGAAGTCTCTTACTCTGGTAGAAGGAGTCCGCCTTGCCGCCTTCATACACTGGGTACCCTTGAACATTAAATTTGTTTATCACATCGTGCAACTACTGTGTCCCACTGGGCAATCCCTGACGTGTTCTTTAACGAACAACATATGGCTGAATGTGCTGGAACACTATGTTGAATGTTGAACTGGACATTTGAAAGTGTTTTCTCCAGTCATCATCACTAAAGTTGTGCAACACTTCAATCCAAAACACTGCACCTTAAGGTTGCTCCATCCAGCCTGATTGTACTGCAGAAAAGCAAGATGCTGTGTTTCCATTCAGGGTTGCTTCAGTGTGCAATCAGCAATACACGCTGGATCTTCACATTTATCAAAAGCATTTGGAGAACCACTATGATAATCCCTAGTGTCATCATGTTTTCTGAAATGTTGACAACCACGTCAGTGGTCCCATAAAACACATAAGCAACACCTAATCGCAGCTGCTGATTGTTTTCCATGCCCCTTCTCATCCCACGCTGAAAATCGTTTTGTGAATGCTCCATTGAGGATGGGATGTGGCTGGCTTCATCTTTATTTCATGAATGACCCGAGGGGGTTCAAAGCAGAGCTGGTCTGTGTGGCAATTTTTTGCAGAACTGACTTAGGCTTTGATCAGTTAGTAGTTTCACAGCTTAAATACAAACCGGATTCCAAAAAAGTTGGGACACTAAACAAATTGTGAATAAAAACTGAATGCATTGATGTGGAGATAGTAAATGTCAATATTTTATTCGTAATAGAACATAGATGACAGATCAAAAGTTTAATCTGAGTAAATGTAAAATTTTAAAGGAAAAATATGTTGATTTAAAATTTCACAGTGTCAACAAATCCCAAAAAAGTTGGGACAAGTAGCAATAAGTGGCTGGAAAAAGGAAAATGAGCATATAACAAACAGCTGGAAGTCCACTAATTAGGTCAATTGACAACATGATTGGTATAAAAAGAGCTTCTCAGAGTGTCAGTGTCTCTCAGAAGCCAAGATGGTAAGAGGATCACCAATTCCACCATTGTTGCACAGAAAGATAGTGCAGCAATACCAGAATGATGTTACCCAGCGTAAAATAGCAAAGACTTTTAAGATATCATCATCAACCGTGCATAACATCATCAAAAGATTCAGAGAATCTGGAACAATCGCTGTGCGTAAGGGTCAAGGCCGTAAAACGCTACTGGATGCTCGTGATCTCTGGGCCCTTAAACGTTACTGCACCTCAAACAGGAATGCCACTGTCAAGGAAATAACAGAATGGGCTCAGGAATACTTCCAGAAAGCATTGTCAGTGAACACAATCCACCGTGCCATCCGCCGTTGCCAGCTGAAACTCTACAGTGCAAAGAGGA